CCATGAATGCACCCACCTGCTCAACAGTGCCCTACCTAGTGACTCGTATTCTCCCTGGGTTTAGAAGAAGCAAGTGCCCGTGCAGAGGGTCACACAGATGAAAGCCAGGGGCAGGGACAGGCAGAGCTGAATGCAAGCAGTCGGTGACCAGGGGCCATCCTCTTTATTATTTTAATGTATAAAACTCGATGGCTTTTATTATTATTATTATTATTTATCATTTTATTGAGAGCTCTTACAGATATCGTACCATTCCATAGTTCAGTCACATCAAACAGTATTGTACATTTGTTGTCACAATCCATTTCCAAACATTCTCCTTCTTCTTGATCTCCTTGATATCCGCTCCCCTTTATCCACCCCCCCAACCCATATATATATATATATACACACTTTTTTTTGCCATATACACAGGAGCATTCTGTGTATCAAGGAAAAGAGGTTCATTAAAATAGTAATGCCAGAGTAAATACACTTATTTTTGCCATATCTTACACCATCTAATATATCCATTCACCTGCAATTCTGTTATTCACTTCCCTCGAGTGGGGTTATATAGTCATCGTGGCTATCAGCTCCCCATTCCCCACTTCCCGCTCTTCCCGTAGCCTCAGGAAAACGTTACTCCCATTACTTTTTCTTGGGGGAAGGGGGTTACCGACGTTTGCATTCATGCATCAGGTGGTCTTGATTTTACCAATGACCATACGAAACAGGGGCCATCCTCTTAACCGGGCTCTTAGCTGTCCTCTGCAGCTCCGCTGGCCATCTCTCTGCTGGTACAACCCAGCGCCTAACTCACAGGGCTTTCCTGCGGGTTCATGAGTACTGAGAGTGGTGCCTAATAGAATGTCCTCACTAAATGCTAGTTTTGATCCTCATCACCAAAGGAGCCCTGGTGGCACACTGGCTTAGGCTGTCAGTTAGGCAAGGTCAGCAGTTCAAACGCACCCCTCCACGGAAGACAGGTGAGGCTGTCTACTACTGTAAAGAGGGACAGTCTCGGAAACATACGGGCAGTTCTCCGCTGTCCTATAGGGTTGCGATGGGTCAGAATCCACTTGGAGGCAGTATGTGTGGCTTGCTTTGTTGTTGTTGTTTATCTCCACCCTGCAGGCTCACAGCCATGATCATCTATCTATCTTTCATTGGTTCACATGATCTGTTTCTTATGTCATTAATTGACTACTATTCCCTGCCAGGTTTCAAAAATCATCTGGGGTAGCTTTGCTCTCCCTACTATTGACGTGGTGCGGTTGTGCTACACTGGAGCAGCTACAGGAAGATCTGAGAGACAGGAATGCAGTCACCCTGCCCCAGATCTGACATGCCTACAGTGGTCACACAAGAATCCCGGGAAGAGGGGCCACGGGGCAAGGGGCTGCAGGCACACACAGTCCACATACTCTCAGCAAACAGCCCCAGCTTTGAATTTTGGAAATGTTCAATCCTAAAGAAGAGTTAAAGGAATAGGATAAGGAAGAGTTAAAGGAATCGGATAAGGAACACTCAGAGGTACATGGGTTCACCAGCTGTCAACATGCTGCCACATTGCTTTCGCGGTGTCTCTCTTGCTCTGTGTATGGAAACGCCCCCTCCCCGCCCCGCATCACTGTAACATGAAGTGGCCATCATCATGTCAGTGTGTCCTTGAGTATCCCAGCCTGGACCTCCTGAGGACAAGGATATGACCGTAGGTCAGCACAATACCACCATCACACCGAGCACGTCCCTGCCTGGAGCAGTGAAGTCCGGCCCACCAGCTGGAAGGGTGGTGGTTTGAACCCCCCCAAAGACACCTCAGAAGACAGGCCTGGCACCCTGCTCCTGAAAGGTCACAGCTTCGAAAACTCGATGCAGCAGTTCCACTCTGCACACGGGGGTCAGTATGAGTCGGAATCTGCTAGAAGGCAGCTAACCACAAAAACACAACAAACCTCGCTGCCATCCGGTGGATTCTGACGCTCCGAAACAACCGTGTGACACAGCAGACCTGCTCCAAAGGGTTTCCCAAAGCTAGACATCTTTATGGAAACAGACTACCACAGCTTTCTCCTAAGGACTAGCTGGTGGGCCTTGGGATTGGCAAGCAAGTGCTTTAACCTTTGTGCCACCCGGCCTCCTGGCAACAAAACTAAAACCAAACCAAACTCATTGCCATTGATTCTGACTCACCGCGGCTCCGTGGGGCAGGGGGACCCGCCCCTGTGAGTTTCCGAGACTGCACCTCTTTATGGGAGTAGGAAGTCCTGTCTTTCTCCCGAGGAGTGGCTAGTGGTTTCAAACTGCTGACCTGGCAGCTAACACCCCAACGCCACCAGGGCTCCTTGTAACACAAAAAGGAGGTGCGTAGTAATCTGTGTCCTTATTGGTGCTGCTACAATCGGTCGTTTGGTTAAGTTGGTACCCACCCACTGTTATCCAATGTAAATTGTTGGTTTGTTTTTTTTCCTGTTTGTAATAAAAAACTTTATGAAGGGGTTCTTTGAGTCCTTGTTCCCCACCGACTTTTTGTCTAATCCTGCTAGCGTCCATTAGTGACCTTCACCTGAATCAATGATTACATTTTAGTCACGATGTGGTCACCCGTGATGTTTACTGCCTGGGAAAACAAACTCTTGTAAACAGAATCCTATTTTCTCACTGACTTGCATTATCATTTCACAACCATTCCCGAATTAATTTTAGGAATTATTTGCTTGGCTCCCACCTGACGGTGGTTCATAGCTTGTATTACATATCTCTGCTCCTTTTCCACCCGAGCAGGAGCATTAAGAGGAGCCAACACATGGAAGCCGTGACTTCAGCAGTGCAACAGGGAGCTCCCCATCTACAAAAGCAAGCGGTGTTTTGTTTTTTTAAGTCTGGAGAGCCCCCTTTCCTCTACTAGATCAAATTCCATGTCAAAGAAAAGCTATCTTCCCAATGATTGGTCGGCACAATGAAAACACATCGAAAGTTTACAGGGTGTGTTAGCTTTCCATTCAACAATTTCTATACATTTTGTTTTGTGACATTAGCGGCAGATCCCTCCATGTATCCTCACTCTTTCCACTTCCTCCCCGGGTTCCCCATTTCCATCCACCCATCCTTTCTGGTCCTTCCTGCCTTCTGAACTCTGGGGACAAATGCTGCCTTTGGGTCTAGTCTGGTTGACTGTTTGAAGGAGCATGCTCCTCATGGGGGTCACTGTTCACTTTACAGGGCTGAGAGGTGATCTCTGTGAGTGGCTTCCATTCCAGGTGTCGGACTGTCTGGTCTTTTGTGATTTGGAATTTTGTCCTACGCTGTCCAGGACCCTCCTTGTGCTCTCAGTCGGAGAGGGTGCGAACAACGGCCTGGCACAGCCGTTCAGCTCTTCTGGCCTTAGGCCAGTGGGAGGTGTGGTCAGTCCTCTGAACTAATTATTTCCCTGAGTCCTTGTTTTTCTTTCCTCTTGTTGCGGGCAGGAAGAGACAAATAGTTGTGCTTTAGATGGCTGCCTGTGTAAGCCTTTTTAAAAACCATTTTATTGGGGGCTCGCTTGTGTAAGCTTTTAAGACCAGTTGCTACTCACTACAGTACGATGTAGACCATGGCTTTTATTGGCTAAAGCAAAACTTAAAAACCAGTTGGGGAGTCAATTCTGACTCTTGGTGACCCTGTATTATAATACTGTAGATCTTTACAAGAACAGCCAGCCTCCACTTTCTGCCAGAGGAGTGACTGGTGGGTTTGCAGTCCAACACATAATTAGCTGACCGTGCCACCAACTGTTACGCCAACTGGCCCAGATGTCCCTGAGACTAAGATCCTCAGCTCTCAGCTCAATGACTCAGACCCTCCAGGTGTGTGGCTCTGGCTAAGACGTTTGCACAACTTTGCCCCCTGTGTGCTCTATTATATGCCTGGATATAGTTACAACACCTACAAATACGTATGTCAAAATGTCCTCTCCCAAACCTATCTATGCTCGAAGGTGTATTCCCATGTGCCATCCCACACCTAATCAGTCTTCATTCATATCTACCTGGATATCCACTTCAAATTACTGTTCATTATTACTGTTATCGCAGGATCACTGCAATGGTATTTACAGTTGCTGCCTTTTCTTCTAGCCCACTTTCCAGCGGCTTCCTTGCCTTGGTCATGTGCTGACTGCCCCTCTTTCCCTTCGCCCAAGTTAACACATGCCCATCTAGCTAGGAGTTTCCTTCTCATCCCTGGTCCCCATGCACAATTTGAAAAGATTCTACAAACCATGGTGGGGCAGTCCCCAACCACATGAGCCAGCTGCTTCTGATACCCTATTTCCTTCGCCCCTGTAATGTCAACAGTCCTTTAGGGCCTAGACGCCACCTCCAGACCAGCGTTCCTTGGGAAGCTAATGAAAAAGCAGATGTGTCAGGCTCATCTCTGGACAACTGAATCATGGAAAGGTTTGGGAATTCCTGCTTGGAGAGGACTGTTGTGGCTTCTAGGAAAACTGGTTGATTGTTGAAAGGAGTGCATTCCACCCTACTTACTGTGTACCTTGCACGCCTATCAATTGTTCAGCTAAAAATTGGGCCATGAGGGTGAGTTCAGTACCGGGTCTGAAAGTCACCCTCAATTCTTAAACCACACCTTCGTCAAGATTAGCATGTGTGTTTACAGCTCCTGAAATAGGGCTAGGGCACTGGAGGCCGAGGGGCAAGGACCATGTTAATGACGGACTATGGGAAACCAGAGAAAGAGCAAGTCAGCTCCGTGCTGAGTTGTTCCTTCGCTCCCTGGGAATCTGATGTGCGGCCGGAGACTGCATTACAGAGGCATGGCATCGGAACAGAGGCAGGGACGCCTACCTGCCGTTGGAGTCACAGTGACAAAGCCTTCTGTAAGCACAGCGAGCTCTCCACCGGGAAAGACCAGTCCTCGGGAACATTGATTTCACAGCCCTCAAAACGGGCCTTCAGGTTCCTACGGCCAAACAGGCTCGTGGCAAAAGGATCAGCACAGCAGTCAACACCCGGGGCTCTTACCTGACTGGAACACGTATCTGGCCAAGCCCTGCATTAACTCTGCTGGCCACGTTGGTGGGGCAGACTCCCCGGTTTCTCTCTTCAGACGAAACGTCAACTCAAAGCCAAAACCACTCGGCCCGTCTGTGCCTGTAAACCTGGAAGGAATAGAAAGCAAATGTTTTTAGTTCATCTACTTAAAACGCCAGTTTGAGGAGATCTAATTAGAGTGAAACACGCATACATACTCCTTATGTGTGTGTGTGTATGGGAGTCTCAGCATCAAACACTAGTCAGAGAATCTTCCAGAGTGTGAACCTGATGGGGAGGAAGGACCTCAAAAGCCCGACAGAAACCAGATCTCTTGCTTGGCCCTCTTGCCAGCGATGGGTCCACGAGTATGACCTTGGCCTGGCCAATCCGAAGCTCTCTGGTACTTTTAGTTTTGAGTGAACATTCCTTTCTGTACGATAGCCATTCCACTATTGGAACTTTTCCTATCCACACACCTTATTCCTTCAAGCTGTTGGACCCACTTGGTTTGTTCAGGATTCATGGCCTTTCACATATATGTCCTGTGAGTCTTCCGTAATGCTGTATGCTCTGTGAGAATGAGACCCTTTCCCTACCCCCACCCCAACCACCAGCACCCAGCTCTGGACCAGAAGGGCAAAACCTCTGGCTGAGCTGGCTGTTGGCCTCCAACCCCGGGGTTTGTGGCCCGGTTCCTAGGTAGATACAACAGGTACCAGTGGGCTCACATTCCGCCTAAAACCTGGCAACCCACACATACTCATCCACCAACACGTGCTCTTCCTGAAACCCGGGCCACTCTGTGTGCACACACTTCCGTCACTGGAGCCTGGGAAAGCATGGCTTACTCCCCTTTCCTTTCCATTCCCAGGTGGCTCACAATGCCCAGGATTACCGCCTCTGTGGCCACAATTCAACACGTGATGATGAGGCACGGGAGGAAGGCCAGCCTCTCTGTCTGCAAGAACACACTCAAAACCCCCCAGGCTCCATGCCTGTCCCGAAGGAGACTTCCACCAGTACAGGCAACGATGTGGAATAGGGAGCCAGGGCCTGGTGGGCGAGGTGCCAGGTTTCTGTAGGTGAGAGACACTCCAGGGAGGAGTGCATGAGGATTGTCAGCAAGGGAAGGGTTAAACTAAGTTCATGATACAATTTCTAGTAATTATATCTTGTACAAACATGAGCCACCATGAGTATACACATGTAAACGCCTCGGCAGACAAATGCAAACCATAAGCTAAGCGGACAGCCAACACCTCCTCGCGGGCCAAGCTCCCCAAACGGGGTCAGCGGGCGAGGGCAGCAGACTTCTGAAGGGATGCTGATACAGATGCCAGGCGGCACTGTTCCTTCATCACCACCTCAAGAAGCTAGGCTGAGAGACTAGTTGGGACGAGATTGCAATGTCTCAGAAGCTCTGTGGCCAGCCCTCATCTGGCCTTACGGGCCTTAACATGCCCATTCTTTAAATGGGCAGTCGAGCGCTCCGGCATTTGCTGCAGAGGGCGGTTACCTCTGTTAAGCCCACAGCCCACTGCCATCCATCAATACCGACCCATAGGGACCCCCTGTGGGTTTCTGAAACGGAACTGTTTACAGGAGGAGAAAGCCCAGTCTCTCTCCCTAGGAGCTGGTAGTCTCTTTGAACTGCCGACCGTGTGGATCAGAGCCCAATGCGCAACTACTGCACCGCCAGGGCTCCGTCTGAGAAGCCCATGCAGTTCTTTAGAGGATGCCAAAGGCATCCTTTAAAAAGCTCACGGTCATACCCAGTTACATTTAAAGGAGGTCTCGTGCTTTGTCTTTTTCCCCAGGTTCCGAGCATGATAGGAGGCAGGATCTATTTTGAAAGGAAACACCTGAAATTCTGAAGCCCAAGCTAGGAGATAATGCACGGCGGGAGGCGATACGAGCGGTAGTTGTTCCTGGCCGAAGATGGAGCCGAGGGGCGAGAGCCGAGGCTGGGAGAAGGGCTGCCTCATCAGGGCTGTGGGCCTGGACGGGTCGGAAAACCTGGCGGGAAATGCAAGCTGGACTCGTGAGGAAAAATCCATGCAAAAGGAGATGGGTTCCTGGGGCAAAGGGAAGATTTCAGCAGCCACCAAACAAGAGGCAGCTTTGTGTATTAGACCACTACTCCAGGGCTTTCATCTTGGGCCAATAAAAATACATGATTATCTAACCACAAAACCTTGAGAAACAGACTTAAAGCAGCACGCTCCTCTTGGACGGCTCAGATAAGAAGCCTCGGCTGTAGAGGGAGAAACATGCACCCAACCAGCTCCGCACGGACGAGTGCATGCTTGCTCACGCACGCACATGTCCACCATCTGCCTCGACCCGCTTTCCGGGCAGCTCTGTGGTGGGCCAGGCCAGCCCTCCCTTGGCTGGGTGGGACGCCCAAGCCAGACCAGATGGTCTCTGCCTGCATTTGATTACCACCCACCGGGCTAGCTGGGCGCAAGCCTGAAGCAGAATTTGGAATGGCCCAGCCTCCGTCATAAACACACAACCTGAAGATTGTCAGAAAGGCCCTTGTTCAAAGCAGGCTGCCCAGGCCACAGCCAAAAGGAAAAGCCGTTCCCTCTTTAAAGGCGCCTGAAGGGGCCTCACTTGGTCTGCATTTCCTCACGCTTCTGACCAGAGAAGACCCTCCCAGGGAGCAGCTGTCCCTTGCATCTTCCAGGGGAGGAGAGCACGAAAGCAAACCGGTATCCGTGCTGAGAAGGTGGGGTCTGGACCAGAGCACAGAGGTGCTAAAATACGGGGTGATGGGAAAAGGGACCAATGGGATGTCTTCCTCCACAGACTTGGAAAGAACACATGAGCTATTCTAGCCCACCTGGCATGCTCTTGGGGGGAAGGGGGGGGTGTTTCTAATTGTGGCTCAGCATCAGTGCAGAGGACACTGGATGAGATCGCTTCTCAGACTGTTTCTGGATCGAGCGTGCCTGATTGTGTTCAGTTCAGCAATCTCCGTCTTGCTCAATGGCTTTGTCCCAGTGGCCTGTGAGCTCTGTGATGGATGACTGCACTAGCATCACCAGGAACACCAAACCTGCCAAGAAGGCAAAACATGCGCCTTCGATTCACACACAGCAGCCCAACGTTGGAACCAAAGCACCTGACCAAGAGGGACCAGCCTCCCAGGGGCCCAAAGGATCCCTAACTCTAGGCAAGAGATGAAGAGGAAGCCGGAGAGGCTTTCTGGAGAAACCACGGGATGGGAAACACAGCTGACCTCCTCGAAGTTGGCATCTCATGCTGAGCACCAACAGCCACCGGGGAAATGCCAACCGCCATGAGACGCTGATTAAGTAAAGACGGACAATAACAAGTGTCTGTGAGGATGTGGAGAAATTGGAACTCTGATACATTGCTGGTGGAATTGTAAACTGGAGTAGCCACTTTGGCAATTAGTTTGGCATTTCCTCAAAATGTTAAACGTGGAATTACCCTCTCACCCAATTATTCCTCTCCTAGGTATGTGCCCAAGAGAAGTGAAAACATATGTTCACACAAAGACTTGTATACAAATGTTCATAGTAGCATTATTCATAGTAGCCTGCAGTGGAAAGAACCCAAATGTCCATCATGGACTAAACAGATAGACACAGTAAGCATTGTATCAGTTGTGCTAAATTAAAGAAGCCAGTCACCAAAGACCGCTTATGGAATGGCTTCATTTAAACCAAATGAAATATAATCCTAATCTACAATATAAAGTACATTTATATATATGAAAACATCCATTATAGGAAAAACTATCGAGACAGGAGTAGATTACACAGTTGCCGAAGGCTGGGAGAGCTGGGGCGGGGTTAGGAGAGTGACTTCTAGTGGGGTACACAGTTTCTTTGTGGGGTGATGAGAAAGTTGTCAAATTAGATCGTGGTGATATTTTCACAGTTATGTCAATATACCAACTACCACTGAGTTGTATACTTTACATGGGTAAACTGGTAGATGACTCCTATCTCAATAAAGCTTTTTATTTTTTTAAAATTGTAGAACAAAGATGAAAAGACCTAATAGAGAAATATTCACATGGGGGAGAAAGGGGAAGCCAATCGCAATGATCAACGTATAACGCCCACCTCCAACCAGGGTGACAAACAACAGAAACAGGGGTGAAGGGAGACAGCAGATGGTGTAAGGTATAAAAGTAACAATAATTTATAATTTATCAAGGGTTCATGAGGGTGGGAGGGTGGTGGGGAGAGGTAAAAAATGAGGAGCGGATACCAAGCAAGGGGCTCAAGTGGAAAGAAAATGTTTTTAAAAGGATAATGGCAACATATGTACAAATGTGCTTGACACAATGGGTATTTGGATTGTTATAAGAGCTATTAAGAGTCCCCACTACAATGATTAAAAAAAACCCTTTAATTCAAAAAATCCACAATTTGGTGGTGGTGGTGGAGAGAAATGTAAATAACCACCTACATTTTGAGCGATGTATTTTGATCAGAGATCCTCAGCCTAAACAAAGAGAGTAGTGGACAAATCTGAGGCCCTAGTTGGTAGGCGTGGAGCAGCCCTGGAGGTGTAGTGGTTGGTCACTGGGCTGCTGACCGCCCGAGGGGAAAAGACGGGCTCTCTACTCGTCCCAGAAACTCGCAGGGGCAGCCCACCCGTCCTATAGGGTGGCTCTAAGTCGGCATCAACTCGATGGTCACGAGAGTGGAGTTGAGAATTCGTAGGCTTGCTTTCTGCAGTGGAACAGGTTAGGAATTCGGAAAGCACTTGCTGCGGAAGTCAGTTGTGGATAATGGGAGCTGGATGTCTCCCATTCCACAGAAGTTGAAAATGGGTAAACATAGATCAGAGATATAAATATACATTTTAAAAGACTTGAATAAACCTCATATTCATGTTATTTAATAGGCCAGAAAAAAAACAAATACAGATGTCTGGGTGTGCATATTTTCTAGTGCTTTCCAATCAGCAATGACACCACCTATCACCATTCTCCATAAAAAGAAGCCAGAGCCCCAGAGAAATGGCTGATTCCAGGGTTGGGAAAGTACAAATGGAGCCTGGAACATGCTGTGCCAGACAGCAAGGAAGTATTCCAGAAATGGCGGAAACACGTCAACAAAGAGTCCAAGAGAGA